GAGAACCCCCTGTATGTATATTGTAACACCCCTCCTCCATTACCTCTCTCTGTCTCTTCTGAAGACACTATATCCTGAAATATTGAGCTGCCAGTCCTTCAAGAAACCCCTGGCCTCCTCCCACAGATCATGTCTCAATGATAGCAGTGACTTCATACCCTCATGTCTTAGTTTGTGCCCTCAACTCATCTGCCTTGATCGTCTGACTTCTTGCATTAAAATAAATACCATCCAACCTTTGCCAAGCTCCCCTGTGCTATAAGTAGCCTATAATTTCTCTACTGCCCTGACTAACTTGCTGTCTGTTCTAACTTTGGCTGTACATCTCCCTTGCTGAACTGTTTCAGTATTCCACACTGCCTCCGCCACGTTAATTTAAACATTCCCCATCAGCACTAGCAAATCTCCCTGCAAGGATGCTGCTCCCATTCCAGTTCAGTTACAGTTCATACGCATTGTATAGGTCCCACTATCCTCAGAAACCGTCCTAAAAACCCAGAAATCTAAAACTTCCATCTTGCACCATTTCTCTAGCCATGTATTCATCCAACCTGTTTCTATACTGACTAGCATGTAGCACCAGAAGTAATCCAGAGTTTACTACTTTTTGGGTTCTCTTTAATTTACTTCCTAGGTCCCTAACTTCTGCATGCAGGACCTCATCCCTTTTTCTACCGATGTCATTGAAGAAGGGTCCTGACCTGAAACGTCAACTTTCCTGCTGCTCTACTGCCTGGCCTGCTGTGTTCCTCCAGCTCCACACTGTGGTATCCCTGATTCCAGCATCTGCAGTTCTTACTATCTGTTTGTTTATCCTTCCCTTTCACAATACCCCACAGTCATTCATTGACACCCTTGACCTGGCATAAGGGAGGCAACATACCATCCTGGAGTGTCTTCTGCGGCTGAAGATACACCTGCCTGTTCCCATTACAATTGAATCCCCTGTCACAAAAACCCTGCTGTTCTTTTTCCTCCCTGCTTCCCTCGCCCTCGCCCCACACCCCCCCCCCCCCACCGGAATCCAAAACGGTATGTGTTTGAAAGGGGGATGACCACAGGGGACTCCTGCACTACCAGCCAGCCTTCCTCTAGGGCTGAGATTGGCAAGTACTTGGAAGTGCATGGTAAAACAGGGCTGATGTGGTTGGTTGGCTTGCCGAACTTGCTCGTTGTTCTGCAGATGTTTTATTACCTGCTGGGTAACATGATCAGTACAGCCTCCGAAGAAGCGCCGTTGTGCTTTCCCGCCTGGTTTTTGAACTCTGGAGTCCGTTGAGCTGGATTACCTGACTTCTGGTTTTCCTTCGTATTGGAGTGTATAAGTATACACTGACCAGAAGGAGCGAACTCAACACAATGGGAAAGAAGGCCCTAGAAGGACTGAAGAAGGACAAGAACATCACAATACTACCCGCAGACAAAGGGCGCATGACAGTATTACTAAATAAAAGCGACTACATCTTCAAAGGCAGAGGCACAGCTAGCCAACGAGAACACATACCAGCAAGTGCGGACAGACCCAACACCGCAACTAGGCAACAAAATCCTCTACACGCTAAAAAGACTCAAACAGACCGGACAGATTAACAAAGCAGACTTCTTGAGAATGAAACCCAAAGGAACCAACACATCCTGATTCTATGGCCACCCGAAAGTGCACAAACTGGAAGTACCCCTTCGACCCATAGTCTCCCTACCAGGCACACCATCACACAGATTAGCCAAGGAACTACAAAGAAGACTCGGACACTTAGTCAACAAGTCACCCCTCTTAATCCACTCAGCCCAAGAATTCCTCAACTCCATCAAAGACATAAGGATAGATGACGAGGAGACCATGATATCGTTTGATGTAACTGCCCTATTCACATCAATAGACATACCACTAGCAAGGGAAACAATGACAGCACTACTAGAACAAGAACAAGACCCCAGTGACACCATCTCCACAGACAACATGCTGAAGCTACTGGACCTATGTCTCACCACCCACTTCACTTTCAACGGCCAAACATGCGACCGGATCAACGGGACACCCATGGGATCACCTATCTCCGGACTTATAGCCGAGGCAGTGTTGCAAAGACTGGAAAGGACTGCCCTTCTGCTAATCCAACCTAAACTATGCATACGCTACATGAACAACACCTTTGTCATCATTGAACGGACCAAACTAGAGGAGACACACAAACTAATAAACAACACCCTCACCAGAATCAAATTCACCAGAGAGGAGGAGAAGAACAAACAACTCCCATTCCTGGAACTCCTGATAGAGCGCAAGACAAATGGGGAACTCCAAACAAAAGTACACAGAAAAGCCATGCACACTGACCAGGTACTGAACCTCAACAGTAACCGTCCTAACACACAAACGAAGCTGCGTGTAAACACTATTTAAACGGGCATCATAACACTGCAGCAGCACAGAACTACGCCAGAAAGAATTCCTCTTCCAGGCTTTCAAAGATAACGGATATCCAAAAAACTGGGTCAGAAGATGCCTACACGAACAACACCAGGAAGATACCACACACATCACGCTACCTTTCATCAGGAACACATCGGAACTAACCACAAGACTGCTACGACCGCTGGGCATCAGAGTGGCACAAGCCCATATCAACCCTATGACAACTGCTTACCTGAACCAAAGACCCACTTCCCACTCTGGACAGGACCAATGTCATCTATAAGATTCCCTGCAGAGACTGACAAACAGGAAGGAAATTAACAACAATGGTACATGAACACCAATTAGCTACAAAAAGACACGACCAATACTCACTCATCTCTATCCACGTGGATAAGGAGAACCACCAATTCGACTGGGACAGCACCAAGATCCTGGGACAAGCAAAGCAGAGACAGGCATGGGAAGTCCTAGAAGCCTGGTACTCCACGAAGAAAGCCATCAACAAACACATAGAACTGGACCCCATATACACTCCACTGCAAAGGAAAACAGGAAGTGAGATAATCCAGCTCAATGGACTCCAGAGTTTAAAAACCAGGTAGGAAAACACAACGGCGCTTCATTGGAGGCTGCACTGATGTTACCCAGCAGGGTAATGAAACGTCTGTGGAACAACAAACCAACTCAGCGAGCCAACCAACCACAACATCCACAACCCGAGCTACATATCTACGCCAAAACCTTAAACAGGGCTGAGTCAGCACGGTTTGGTCAAGGGGAGATCATGCCTGACAAATTTGTCTGATTTCTTGAGAAGGTAATGAGCAAGTTAGACAAGGGAGAGCCAATGGGCGTGATCTGTTTGGATTTCCAGAAGGCCTTTGACAAGGTGCCACACGTAAATAACAGCCCATGGTGTTAGAGCAAGTTATTAACATGGTTGGAGGATTAGCTGACAGGCAGAATGTGTGGATAAAGGGTTTGTTTTCAGGATGACAGCCAGTGACTACTGGACTTGAGACCACACATTGACAATCTGGACGCAGGAACAGAGGGCATTTCTGCTAAGTTTGCAGAAGACACAAAGGTGAAGGGATAGGTAGTATTGAGAAAGTGGGGATGTTGCACATGGACCTGGATGGGCTAGGAGACTGGGCAAAGAAGTGGCAGATGGAATATAATGTGGAAAGTGTGCGTTATGCTCTTTGGCAGAAAGAACGTGGGCAGATTATTTTCTAAGCTGGGAAAGGCTTCAGAAATCTGAAGCACAAGGGGACTTGGGAGTCCTAGTTCAGGGTTCTGTTAAGGTTAATATACAAGTTCAGTTGGCAGTTAGGAAGGCAAATGCAATGATAGCATTCATTTCAAGAGGGCTAGAATACAAGAGCAGATGTACTGCTGAGGCTGTATATGGCTTTGGTCAGACTGCATTTGGAATATTTTGTACAGTTTTGAGCCCTGTATCTAAGGAAAGATGTACTGGCCTTGGATGAGCTCCATGGGAGGTTTACAAGAATGATCCCAGTGACAAAGTGCTTGTCATGTGGGTGGTTGAGGACTCTGGATCTGAACTCGATGGAGTTGAGAAGGATGAGGAAAGAACTTATAAAATGTGAGCGGTCTGGATAGAGTCATCAACAGAGAAGATGTTTTTAACAAGAGTGATGACACTGAGTGAAGGGAGGACCCTGTAGTACTGAGATGAGGGATTTCTTCAACCAGAGGTTGGTGAATCTGTGGGACTTGTATTGGTATGAACAGCTGTGGAGGTCAAGTAATTGTGTGTAATTAAGAGATTTTTGATTAGTCAGGAGATCAAGCTACAGGGAGAAGGCAGGAGAATGGGATTATAAAACACATCAACTGTGATCAAGTAGCGGAGAAGACTTTTTGGGCTGAATGGCCTAATTCTCCTTTATCTTATAGTCTTCGGGTGAGTGACTTGGAGAGGAGCTTGCAGATGGCGGTGTTCTGTGTATCTTCTGCCCTTGTTCTTCTAGATGGAAGTTGTCATGGGTTTGGAAGATGCTGTACAAGGATTTTTGGCGCAGTTGATGCGATATCAGTGGAGATGGTGCAGAGGAAAATGACCAGGATGTTGCCTGGGCCAAGAGAGTTTATGAAGAGAGATTAGACAGACTGGAAGTTGTTTTCCTTGGAGCAAAATGAATTAAGAGGAGACATGATGAGATGTATAAAATTGTGAGGCCCAGGTAGGATAGACAGGAAGAAAAATTTCCCCTTAATTGAGGAATCAGTGTCTGGGACCATAGATTAAAGCTAAGGTGAAGGCAGTTTGGAGGAGATGTAAGGATAAACCTTTTCACTGAGAGTGGCAGGTATCTGTTACTCACTGTGTAAGGTTGATATGGGCAGAAACCCTCACCACGTTCAAAAAGAATTTAAACAAGTACTAATGATGTCAAGTCTGGGCCAGTGCTGGGGAATGGGAGTAGAATAGTTAGGTCAATGTTTTTGACACGTGTAAATGATGGCCATTGTTTGTGCTGTAGGCCCCTAAAATTTCCATGGTATGTCACCTTTTTGGGCAGTATTAATACTTTGTCTTCTTACACGACAGAGAAAAACAAACTTAAGCCGTCAGCCAGTCCAGACCAGGGAATGGAAACGAGTAAGTGATATTTACCACAGCTTTCACTGGAACACTGAGCTGTACCCAAAACATTAGTTGGCTTTTTGATTACTTGTCTAGTGATAATATCAATAGGGCTAGTGTCTTCCCTTAGAGCAGGAGGAAATTGGAGAGTCATGAGTCTGCAATCCACTGTAACTTCCACGTCTTTGTGGAACCCTGCCAGATCAATGTCCAGATATCGGAGTTAGAGAGAGTGGAATTCAGCCAGGCCTCCTGCTCCTGATCACTGTCCCAGTGGTGTTGAGTAAGGCTAGATACGCAATTAGAAGTGGAGGGGGTGGGGGCGGGGTAGAATGGGGAGTGGTGAAAACAGTGAGAGATTTTGCAGAACATCTACATTCTGCTCGCAAAAAAGACCCTGAACTACCTGTTGCCTGCCACTTCAATGCACCAGCCTGCTCCCTGGTCAACATCTGTCTCTGGCTTGCTGCAGTGTTCCAGTGAAGCCCAATGCAAGCTGAAGGAACAACACCTCACTTTCTGCTTGGGGACCCTACAGCCCTCTGGACTCAATATTGAGTTCAATAATTTTAGGACCTAAACTCTCCCCTATCCCACACACCAGGCCTTGTTACTACATAGCCTGCCATTACACACCCCCTGTTGTCAGTCACCAACAGTCCCCATTAACAACTATTCACCCTCCCAGCCTGATCGTTAGCAACTCCTTTGTCTGTCCAACTGTCTTTCTCTCTCTTTGGGCTCTATCCTGTCGTTTACTCCCTACCCCACCCACCCCCCTATTTTCTGCGTATAAACTGACATTTTCCCAACCACCATCAGTTCTGAGGAAGGGTCACCAGACCCAAAATGTTAACTCTGTTTTCTCCTTCACAGATGCAGCAAGACCTGCTGAGCTTTTCCAGCAACTTTGTTTTTGTTCCTGATTAACAGCATCAGCAGTTCTTTTGGTTTTTAGTCGGTAGTGAGAAATAGGGGCTAGGTGGGTCGACCATGGTAAATGGGGAGTTGCAGGGATAGTGTTGGGAGCTGGGTCTGGGTGGGATCCTCTTCAGAGGGTCGACATGCTGACTGGCCTCTGTAGGGATTCTATGATTCTGTAATTTCCCCGTCACTAAGGGGAGGCACTAGCCCTATCGGTATTGAGGTTGTAGACATGCTTGCCAAGCCAATGGGTTTGGTTGCAAACGTACCATATCCAAAACCAACAAAGCCAGTGTAATATACAAAACACCATGCAAGGACTGAGAAACACTACATAGGCCAAACTGGAAGAAAATTGACAATACGAATACACAAACACCAACCAGCCACCAAGAGACAAGACCAATTCTTAATTGTCTCACTACACAACAAGGGACACATTCGCTGGGACAACACATCCATAATTGCAGAAGCCCAAGGGAGACACGCCAGGGAATTCCTGGAGGCCTGGTATTCTAACCGGAACTCCAACAAACCTAGACCACTGAGAAAGAGAACTGGAGGTAATACCAAGCATCCCAGAAAACCGAGGCATATAAATAACAAGTGGGACATAACACCAAAGCTTCACCGGAGGTGCACTGACTATGTTACCTAGCAGGGTGACGAAACATTTGCAACCAAACCCACTGGCTCAGCGAACAAGTCTATAACCGCATCCACAACCCAAGTTACAAATCTTCTCAAACTATCAGTATTATCAGTGGACAATTAATCCTGGTATGATGGAATCTGTGACAATCCGTTCTAGAGTCTAATTTCTCTTCATACTTGACAGAGAAAACCAAGGCTAAAGCATCAAACAATCCAGACGAAGGGTCAGCTGCAGACCAACAAGACAAAGAAAGTAAGTGACAGACACCACACCTCCGTCACTGTGTTACACTGATAAGCGCCCCACCACTCGCTGTGCCCCGCAGGTTGGTCCCCTCGCTGTGCCCCACAACATTAGGAGAACTAATGGGTCTAAAGACTGATCATTCCCTGTACAGAAACTCTAGCCTCTGGTCCGTTACAGCAGCAGTTTTTATGTGGCTGGTCAGCAATAATACCTAGGATGCTGATAGTGGGTGATGCAGTGATGATAATGTTTGTCATGTGATTCTAATCTCTCCATTACATTCCACAGGTTCCCCTTGGCATCCATGGGAGTCACTTCTTGCAGATGAGACCAAACCATGTCAAACATCTGACCCTACTGAGGGCAAGCAAGCTAGAAAGAGTGAGTGAGGGGGAAGGTCACTAGGTAATTGACATAATTTTGTGGAGATGGTACATCCCCATGTTATGAGCAATCAATACGGGGTAGGGTGGATGGTGGTTTGAGCCACAGATGCGCTCAGCTCTTAGTGCACAGTGAAACTCGGAACTTCCAAGGGTGTGAGTGTAGCTGCAGTTATTGCCTGTCCCTAATGGCCCAGAGGGCGATTCCCAGGCAGTCACCCGTATTGCTGTGACTTTGGAGCACCAGACCAGGTAAGGATAGCAGGTTTCCTGCCCTGAAGGCCATTAGTAAATCAGATGCGTTATACCCACAACAGTGGTATTGAATTCAAATTCCACTATCTGCCATGGCAGGTTTCGCACCCAGTACCCAAACTGGGGGGTCTCTGGATTAATAGTCTAGCTGTAACATTTGGCCCGCACCTCTCCATAGACAGAGAGGTGAAATCAGGTAGAGTTCCAGATCAATGTCCAGAAATCTCTGGGTTAAGGAAAGAGTGGAATTCGGCTGGGGCTTCTGTTTGCTGTCTGTTCTCTGGCTTAGAGAGAGGGTCAGTCAGCCAGGCCTCCCGCTCCTGATCACAGTCCCAGTGACATTGAGTAAGGCTGAGACTAGCTATGCGATTACGAGGAGGTGCAGGTGAAAAGGGTGACAGAGAAGGGAATGAGCTGGTGTAAGAGAATCTGTGACAGTCCATTCTAGAGTTTAATTTTACATCGTACTTGACAGAGAAAACCAAGGCTAAAGCATCAAACAATCCAGACGAAGGGTCAGCTGCAGACCAACAAGACAAAGAAAGTAAGTGACAGGCAGCACACCTCCGTCACTGTGCTACGCTGATAAGTGCCCCACCGGGTGCGTCCCCTCGCCCCTGGCTGTGCCCCACCGGGTAGGTCCCACTGAGAGGCCCCTCAGTAAAACAATTCTATGCAATTTTTGAGAAAAATCAGTTTGGCCAGCATGGTGATGAGAAGAGTTCATAGGGTCTATTTGGGACAGTTTCCTAAAGCAATATCTTGTGGTTCCAACAAGAGATTAGCATATTTTTGAATGTGGTACTTTCTAATGAGGCAAGTGTAATAATTGATCTGATAGTGAAAGATGACCTTGGGAACAGTGATTGTAACCTAATAGTTTAGCATTCAGTTTGTGTGAAAAATCTGGGTCAGAGACAACTGTACTACCCTTATAAATCAGGGTAATTGCATCAAGCTGAGTGGGCTGAGAAAGGAGTTTAGCAGGAAAGGCTGTTGAGGAACAGTGCCAGATGCACAATGAAGAAATAATCCTAGTCAGGAAGGAGGATTCTAGAAAGGGTGAATTGATTATGGTTAATCAAGAAATCTAGGACAGCAGCAAATTGAAAGAAAAACATATACTTGGCAAATTTTTGTGGTAAATGAGAGGAAAATTTTTAAGAGCCAACAAAAACGAGTAAATAAATAGAGGGTTCATCTAGCAAGCATTATAAAAATGGACAGCAAGAGCTTCTTTAAATATGTAAAAGGGAAGAGAGAGGCCAAAGCGTCACAAGCCCCTTAGAGAACAAGAGGAAAAGCAGGAAGTAGCAGGGGAATTAAATAAATAATTTGCATCAGTTTTCACAGAATATTAAATATTTAAGGTAGGAGGGGCCAAAATAGACAAACTCTCACTGAAGAGAAAAACATTAGGAGAACTAATGGGGCTAAAGACTGATCATCCCCTGGACTTGATGGGATACAAGCTAGAATATTCAAGGAAATAACTACAGAGATTGCGGGTACGCTGTTGGTAATCTTCCAAGAATCCTTACGTTCTGAGAGAGTCCCAGACCTTTAGAAGACAACCAATGTAATATCTTGTTCAAAAAGGGAAGGAAACAAACAGGTAACAAAGGCCAGTTAACTTCTGTTATTGGGTGTATGTTAGCATCTGTTATAAAGAATAGAATAGCAGAGCATTTAGAAATGCATAGTATTGCTGAAGGAGAAATCATGCCTGAGAAGTGTATACAGTTCTTTCAGGAGGTAACAAGCAGGATAGAACTGGGAAGCAGGGAAGTAACGTTTGAATTTCTGTGGAGTTCCAGAGGGTGCATCGAGGCTCTCATTAATCTGTCTGGCTCAGTTAACATTATCTTTGATTCCCTTAACAATTAAAAAAGAAAAGGGAGCTGGTAATTGATCAAATCAGCCATGATCTCACTGAATAGAGAAACAGACTTGATGGACTAAGTGGCCTATTTCTGCTCCTGTGTCTTATGGCTGGACCAGGGTTTATTGCCCATCCCTAACTACCCTTGAGATGCTGGGGGTGAACACTCTCCTTGAACTTCTGAAGTTTTAAGTGCTGGAGGGATATCCCCAGTGTTGTTAGGGGAGGAGTTACCGAAGCATTGGTATTAAAGGGGGCTAGTTGTTGAATGTAGTGTACACGGTGCCAAACAAGTGAATGTTTTGTCCTGAATAGTGTTGAGCTTCTTGAGTGTTGTTGGAGCTGTGCCCATCCGGGCAACTGGGGACCATTCCATCACACTCCGTTTAACAGGACTTGTGCCTAATGATGGACAGACTTTGGGGAGGCAGGAGTCACTCATTACAGAAACTCTAGCCTCTGGTCCGTTACAGCACCAGTCTTTATGTGGCTGGTCGGCAGTAATGCCCAGGATGCTGATAGTGGGTGATGCAGTGATAATAATGTCTGTCATGTGATTCTAATCTCTCCATTACATTCCACAGGTTCCCCTTGGCATCCATGGGAGTCATTTCTTGCAAATGAGACCAAACCATGTCAAACATCTGACCCTACTGAAGGCAAGCAAGCTAGAAAGAGTGAGTGAGGGGGAAGGTCACTGGGTAATTGACATAATTTTGTGGAGACGGTACATCCCCATGTTATGAGCAATCGATACGGGGTAGGGGAAGGGTAGGGTGGATGGTGGTTTGAGCCACAGATGCGCTCAGCTCTTAGTGCACAGTGAAACTCGGAACTTCCAAGGGTGAGAGTGTAGCTGCAGTTATTGCCTGTCCCTAATGGCCCAGAGGGCGATTCCCAGGCAGTCACCCGTATTGCTGTGACTTTGGAGCACCAGACCAGGTAAGGATAGCAGGTTTCCCTCCCTGAAGGCCATTAGTAAATCAGATGCGTTTTACCCACAACAATGGTATTGAATTCAAATTCCACTATCTGCTGTGGCAGGATTCGAACCCAGTACCCAAACTGGGGGATCTCTGGATTAATAGTCTAGCTATAACATTTGGCCAGCACCTTTCCATAGACAGAGAGGTGAAATCAGGTAGAGTTCCAGATTCAATGTCCAGAAATCTCTGGGTTAAGGAAAGAGTGGAATTCAGCTGGGGCTTCTGTTCGCTGTCTGGAGATCTCTGGCTTAGAGAGAGGGTCAGTCAGCCAGGCCTCCCGCTGCTGATCACAGTCCCAGTGACATTGAGTAAGGCTGAGACTAGCTATGCGATTACGAGGAGGTGCAGGTGAAAGGGGTGACAGAGAAGGGAATGAGCTGGTGTAAGAGAATCTGTGACAGTCCATTCTAGAGTTTAATTTTTCTTCGTACTTGACAGAGAAAACCAAGGCTAAAGCATCAAACAATCCAGACGAAGGGTCAGCTGCAGACCAACAAGACAAAGAAAGTAAGTGACAGGCACCACACTTCCGTCACTGTGCTACGCTGATAAGTGCCCCACCACTCGCTGTGCCCCACTGGGTGGGTCCCCTTGCCCCATCAAACAATCAAACGTCGGGTTTGGGTGCAGAGCAGCAAGAGGAGTACAGTAAGTGACAGACATAACCCTATAACTGCACAGCAACCCCCCCTCGCCCGTTGTGCCCTGGCCCTGCCCCTGCCATGTTCTGATATACACCAGGTTACCCAGAGTTGATGTGATATGTTGAGATGCTGCGCTATCACAGGGTTGGCACTGTGGATGCTTTACTGCCATAACTGTACTCTTTAAAGTATAATCTCTGTTATGTTGTCTGAAACACATCTGCTAATTTTGCTGATAGCAAATTCTCAGCAGCAACCATGTTGTAATGACCAAATGTTCTGCTTTTATGATGTGGTTTGATGGATGCATGGATCTGGTTTGACAAGGGAACTGTCCTGCCTTTGTAGGTGATGCAATGGGATGTTGTACATCTGCACGAGCAGACTGCTGCAAGTGTTTGATGTCTCAGCTGAAAGACGGCATCATTACACATGTAATGTTCTGTGGTTTCCTGCACCGAAGCGTGTGTCATGCGTTTTCTGGTTGAACCCTTCCTCACAGCATGGTTTTTATCAGATTAATTTGCTGTCCACCTCTCACCCATGTGCGCAGTGTTACACTCTGAATAATTGCATGTTTGCTGATGCTGTGTGAAGCTCACTGGTATGTTTGTGTGAATCCAATGAATAAATATTCCTGTACCCAGACTTGTAAATCCATGAATTTGTTTAAGCCATTTCAGTTTTTTGGGTTGTAACAATACCAACATGAGACAGTATAATGTATCTGTGTTCTTTTCCCCACAGGAAGACCGTTTGTTGTCACTCTCCCAGTGACTCGATATGAGTTGCTGCAGTGTGAGTATCACCAGGAACTATCCAACTGTCCTTCCCCCTTCCTCCTCACCAGCTTCTCCCTACACCTAACCATCTTCTGCTGGTTCACAATGACCTTTCCTCCACGGTAAATGGCGATGTTTAGTAGTTGCTGAGTGTTCAGATCAGTTGCAGTTCCTCAAGTAATGAAACCGTCTGTGTCTCAGGCAATAACTTTCAGATTTGGGTAAAAATGTGGAACCTTGGCAGGGTGAATAGTATTGATTCTTTGAGGAAGCTTATCCCAAATTTATGTTTCAATGTGATGTTTCGCTGAAACGAACATGAGTAAAGTGATAACCCCCTTCAGCCTATTGTTCACTCATATACATTGGGCAGTAGAGGCCACTCAGCCTGCCATTCTATGCGATCACAGTTCATTGATTATCAATGATACACTACTCCCTTGTTTACCAATATCTGTTCGCTTCTGTCTTCAAAATACGCCAAGACTGTGCTTCCAGCTCCTTTACAGGAAGTGTGTTACAAATGCACTCAACTCCATGTGAAACACTTTTTGCCTCATCTCCGTTTTAAATGGGTGATGCCATCTAAAAATCTAGAATGGAAATTCTAATGACCATGAAACTATTGCTGGTTGTAAAAACCAGTCTGGTTCACAAAGTGGTCCTTTAGGGACATTACCTGTTCTAGCCTACATATGACTCCAACCTTCTACAGTAGAGAATTTCACACACTCACCACCCTCTTGGTGAAGAGATTTTTCCTGACCTCAATGCTCAATGGCCGACCCTGGATCCTAAGACCGTGACTGGGCTCCTGGAGCAAAGATCATCCCTGCATCCAGTTGTCCAGCCCTGTCAAAATTTTCTGTTTCAATCAGATCCCCTTCTATCAAACGCCAGTGAATACAGACAGAGTCCACCCATTTTCTCCTGATACAACAAACCTGCCAGCCAGGAATCAGTCTGGCAAACCTTTGCTGCACCACTCTGTGACAAATATTTTCCTCCTTGGGTAAGGAGGTCAAAACTGTCAACACAGTACTGCAAGTGTGGTCGCCGAAGGCCCTGTCCTGTTGCTGTAAGATATCCTTGTTCCTGAGCTCTCTCCCTCTCGCACTGAAGATTGTCATACCATTTGCTTTCCAAGCTGCTTGCTTAGTGTTTAAAGACACGCAGGTCCTTTTGCATATCAACATTTCCCAATCACTTATCTAATACTCTGACTTTCTTTCATCAAAGCTGACAACGTCACACTTCTCCATGTTTCACTGCACCTGCTATTAGAGGATCTTGACTTAGGAATATCTGATTCTCAAACCCTCATACTTTAGGACACGAACACGTTCAGGAGCATCAAGTTAAAGACCAGACATATGGATCTGTCAGGGCAAGCAATGTGATTGGAGGATCAGTGACCATGTCCGGGTTAGGGCGGTGCTGTTATGGAAGATTCTAGGGTGTGAAGGTGCAATTGGGAAAGGGCCACAGTAGAATGTTCCCCAGCTGACTGCAGCTCTCACGTTCCCATCAGAGAAACATCAAGTCCTTGTGTTGTCCTGCAGCTCACGAGATGTGGGTGTTGCTGGCTGGGCCAGCATTTATTTCCCGTCCATAGTTGCCCTTGAAAGTGGTGTTAGGCTGCTGCCCACCTGCTGTGGGTTGACCCACAATGCCATTAAGGAGGGAGTTCCAGGATTTTTGACCCAGTGACGGTGAAAGAACGGTGATATATTTCCACATCAGGATGGTGAGTGACTTGGAGGAGAACTTGCAGGGGGTGGTGTTCCATTGTATCTCCATGGGTTTGGAAGGTGCACAGGATTTGAACCCAGGTCCCCAGAACATTATCTGGGTCTCTGGATTAACAGACTAGTGAGATACCACTAGGCCATCCCCTCCAGTGTAACTGTCAGTTCTACAGCAGCAAATGTATTGATTTGATGAGGATTTGTTCTGTATTCTGCAGGTAAATCAAAGGTCACCTTTGATCACCGGACTGCCCACAAGAAGCTCCTCATATGTGATAACTACACCCGCCTGTCTGTGGCAGAGCAGTTACAGTCCTACCCTGACCAGGCTGCAAGGTTCATCAACTGTGCCCAGGTGCTAGGACTACAGAATTTCTTAAATGGTTGCCATTACTGGGAGGTGGACAATGAGGACAGCAGTCTCTGGGCGATTGGGCTTGCTTGTGTTGGCATGGATAGGAAAGGTGCCAGGAGTCGCCTAGGAAGAAACCCACTGAGCTGGTGCTTGGAGAGATTTGGCCAGAAGCTGTCAGTTTGGCACAAAGACCAGGAAGCTGTCCTGCATGTTTCTCCACCCAGAGTAGTCGGAGTTTACCTCAACTGTAATCAAGGAATTGTGGCCTTTTATTCAGTCGCTGATTCCGTGACAAGGCTGTTTTATTTCAAAGTGGATCTTCAAAGCCGGGTTTTCCCTGCTTTCTGGCTGGGCAGCAGTGGCAGTACCCTCTCTGTTGTTCAGTTCTAAATGTTCTTGCTTTGTCTGACCCTGGTTCACTCCTATGGCCCATTCTCTCCATTTAGTTTTCCACTCTTATATAATTTTCTCAAACTATATTTTAAATATAATCCGGCATTAATGGCCTGATCGCATCTTGGGGGGAAACAACAAAACGTAAAGTTTTGAGCTGAATGTGGAGAGTCCTGTTCAGTTTGAAACATACCTCCGGTTCACTGTCCCTCGCAGATGCTGCCTGCCTGCTGTGCTTTTCCAGCACTTTGTTTTTATTTGATTTCCAGCATCCCACTGTATTTTATTTTTACTTCATCTGTAATGCTTTTGGGAATTGGGTAGAGTTGGAGTGGAGTAGCACTGAGCTTCACTTTGTGACCTTGATATAGTGACAGACAGACCTATCCCAGTCTGAGTACCTGGTGCCCCTACCTGGTACTCTCAGCCATGTCTGAGGCCAAATCTCATTCTCTCTCAATTGTTCGATAAGTCTGCCAGGGTTTAGAATGAGGGGTGATCTTATTGCAGCTTATAGATCCTGAAGGGAATTGGCAGGAACAGTACTGACAATGTGTTTGCTCTTGTGGGAGAAATTAGAATAGAAAGAATTTAAAAACGAGGGGTTAGAACGTGAGAAATCTTCTTTGCAGTCATGTTTTTGGAGTTCCCTCCTCAGAACAGGCTGGGTCATTGAAATTATTTATGGCAGTGTTGGGTGGTGTCTAGGCTTATGAGGGACAGACAGGAAAGTGGAGTTGAGACCGCAGTCAGAATGCTGGAGCCCACTGGAGGGGCTGAATGGCCTACTCCTGTTCCGATGAGGCCACAGGTGGAGTTGGTTGCTGGTTATTCACCAATCATGACCCATCAGACACTGAAGCAGCCCATGTCCATTTGCAGCAACACCTGCACAATATCCAAAAAGCCTTTCCAAATCTATCAATGTTCAGCATTGGGTGTCCTGAGTGGTGGAAAATCTTGGTGAGGGGCAGGTGCCTGGAGACTGTCCTCGGGGCACACCGTTGTGGAGCTCTGGGTTGGAGACCAGGGGCATTGCCATGTCTCTCACCCATCAAATCAAACAGCCAGACGAGAGAAGGAATTGGCAGAGAGGATCTGTGGTGTTGGAGTTACTGCCTTTCATTGATATTGTCAGTGTAAGGGAACAATTCGTATTTTTCCATTACACTTTGCAGAGTTTTAAAGATGCCTTTTTGATTGTGGAGTACTGTGTGCAGTTTCGGTCGGCTTATCTCAGGAAAGTTATTGCCATGGAGGGAGAGCGACAAGGATTCACCAGCCTTGTTCCTGGGATGGTAGCACTGTCCTCTGAAGAGAGTGTGGCTGACTAGACCTGTTTTCTGCAGAGTTTTGAAGAATCAGAGGTGATCTCGTTGAAACCTACAGAATAATTAAAGGAATAGAGAGGTAGAAGCAAGTAAGATAATTCCCTAGTTGGAAAGTCTCAAACTAGGGGCATAATTTAAAAATCAGGGGAATATCACTTGGGGCCCAAGATGAAAAAATATTCTTTTTCTGAGGGTGGTGACCTTTGGAATTCTCTAGCAGATGAGGCTGTGGAGGTTGTGTCTTTGAGTATGTTTAAGGTAGAGAGTGGTAAATTTCTGATTCCCAGTGATGTACAGGGTTATAGGAATGGGCTGGGTAAAAGGCATTGAAGTGTTCAAACAACCATGATCATATTGAATGGTGGGGCTGGCTGAATGGGCTGAATGGCCTACTCCTTTTCTAATGGTCACCAGTCAGTCACAAGTCCACAGCTTAATCCATACTCAGTCTGTGATTGGTAAATTATCCAGGCTGCAATAAACTGCACAGTGCTCAGGAATTCATCACCTTGACTATTCTCCCCAATCTACTGCAATCACTGCCCATTAATGCAAGCATGGTTACTTAGTGCTAGTTATGGCAATGCCTAGTTACCTCTGGCTTGGTTGCAGTCTGCTGGTTATGGCTGTGCCTAGCGATGCATAGATTGGTTCCCGGTGCTAATTATATTTGCACTAGATTCTAGATAAACTGGTTGTTCCTGGCTGTGTCATTTTTTCGAGCTAATTACACCATGATTAGATATCAGTGCCTAGTCCTGGTTATGTTGGTGTTGTGCACTAGTTATGGTTGTCACATGATATTGGCATTGTAAATGATTCTTAATTTGCAAATGACAGCAGACTAGGGCAGGGAAAAGAGGATCAGGAGAATCTGGAACCAATTACAGGGGGGACATTAATAAACTTGCTAAAAAAGAGTGCTCCCTCTTCCATGAATACATTTGTGCCTGGTCTCATTGGAGAGGGAGCGTGCGGTGTGCGTCAATGCTCTCAGTGCCTTTAAAGAGAAGTGGGCACCATGTGGGATACAGTGCTTCATCCTCTCTTCTCTTCTTCCCCACCCCAGCCCTATTTTGAGTTAATCCACTGCCCTGCCCCACCCCACCACACGTGAGCACACATTCGCCTTTGGTTCTCATTGCCCATGATGGACTTTGCATGTAAATATTTAATTGGTTACATGGATAATTACTGGTCAGTAGGTTTAAAAAGTTACTGATTTTGGTGGTGGGAAGGTCGCTTTGTTATGTGGTTGGACTTCTGGATAGAATGGAAAAAAATAAATTTAAGTTCAACACTGAAACGAGAGAGAATGCATTCTGATAAAGTTGGTTGCATATTAATTTTATGAATAAGAATATGAAAGGGTTGTAGCCAGAAATTATGCGATTTTAAAAAATGACACCAGGTTAGTAAGGTCATAAAACTGCCAATCAGGCACTGGCTGTATTTCTAAAGGGTAACAGTTGGAAAGTCTTTTGATTCCATTAACCTTGACTCAGACCTTGGTCAGACCACACCTACAGTATCATGAGTAGTAGATACCTTTAGTATCTAGTTTCTTTAAAATGATAGGTTTTGATGGAATGGGTAGAGTGTCTTCCTGTTTGGAGGGAGGAGAGCAGAACTAGAAGCTGTTAATGAGAGTCACATAGAAATCCAACTGGGAATTTAGAAGAACCCTATTCCCCATAGAGTGGAGAGAGGTGGAACTGGCTGCCACAGTGAGTGAAATAATGTATAAAAGGGGAAACTGGAAGGAGCAGCGAATAGAGCATTCCAGTGCTAGGTTTAGATGTGAAAAGATGGGAGACTTAAATGAAGCATAAACATGTACATGGACTGGAATAGACAGTTTCTATGTCATGTATCCTATTGAATTATTCCAGTGCCGATTATAATGGTGCCCACTGCCACTATGGGGCATTCCTTATGGTTGAGGGGATCATTTATGTATGTTTCAATGCTCCGAGTTCCAATTCTCACCTTGGTGACCCAGCTCACGAGCAGTGTCACGCCATCACAGTGACAATCGCTTTAAAATGCAGACACTTGTTTCAGAACTTAAATCTTTTTAAATTGACTACTTTTTTGGGGGGTTTTCAGTTTTCATTCAAACTCTTTTCAGAATAAGATTGGCACTTGTGCAATTCTTTCTGCATCTGGGAAACCAGCAAAAGGGGAATTATTGAAATATTCTGGATTCATTTAAACTGCAGTTTATTCAACTTCTCATCCTTATTACTAAGTATTTCTGTAACATTTTCCAGTTATCTCCGGATATCTTCAAGCACTTCAGAGACCCTTCTGCAGATGTCATGAAGTCTTGTATTTCTGTGAAATTCGAGGGGTAAATTTTAATCTTGCTTCCAATGAGGACTTATTTTCTCCTTGTCAGTGTGAAGTAATCAGAAATCATGGCTGTAAACGTGTAGCACAGGGAAAGCTGTAGTCACCCATTCCTGCCTTAGAGAACTGAGCTGATCTCAAGCCCCTCACTGCTAATGAATGAGGAGGATATTTGCAACTGACTTACGGAATGAATGATTAAAATTGTTAGTTGGGCTGTGAATGGGGCAAGGGTAACTTACTGATTCTGATGAATAATAATTGGTCCCTATTGGAGAAGCAGGTTTTCATTGATGGACTAGTTATATTTTTCATACTGTATAAACCTTGAAATAAACATTCCAATCTAGACTGCATGATTCCTTTCTGTCTTTTCAGGGTGATGGTGGGGAGGAGAGTCTGTGAGTTCAGGAACATTGAGACACTGGTGATTTCACCATTGAGTAAAGCTTCATTATCTGCCTTCATGAGAAAGGAACATGACAATTTGTAAGAACTGCAGTGAAATGGAAAATTAATGGTGAACAGTAAACTGGGCCAAGAACAAGAGTACATTCTGGGCCAAGGTTCATTCTGTCATCAGATCATCTCACTAGGGTATATGTCCCACACGCACTGACTGTCACTGGGCAATTGGATCTGAACACATACTGATTCTCACTTATGTTACGGTTCGTACATGCACTCTGACTCTCACGGAGGTATGGCTCTCACTGTCTCCCCAACTGACTAGACAGTGGAACTGAGTGGGGATCAGGGATCAATTCATTGGGCTGTAGAGGACTGTTAGTGCTGCCCCATGACAGCACAACAAGAATGGCCCTAAGCACCCTTTGCAGTATATGTTTAACGGTGTAAAATGAGAAACACTTGTTTAATGTGTTCTCAGCACAAGAGGACAACGGAGTCTGTTTACTACAGTAAGATTGAATGTACAACACTCTTTGCTACCCACAGAATATTTCATACCAATGTTATTTCTTTTAAGAATTTTTCTAATCAATCAGTTATAATACTACAATTAGGTTTTAATTAAGATTCTTCAAGATAATTGTAGATCTAGATTCTAAGGTGTAATGGAAAGATACTTGTATTAATCACTAAAATGAGAAAGAAAGGTTTAAAACTAATTATATGGGGCATTCCTTATCTGCCCTAGTTGACAGATTAAAAAGTAGTAGCAACCAAGCCTTATTCAATTCTTTGAGGATGTGACAAAACACATTGATGAAGGTAGAGCAGTGGATGTGGTGTATGGATTTTAGCAAGGCATTTGATAAGGTTCCCCATGCTAGGCTCATTCAGAAAGTAAGGAGGCATGGGATTCAGGGAAATTTGGCTGTCGGGATACAGAATTGGCTGTCCAATAGAAGACAGAGGGTGGTAGTAGGTGGAAAGTATCAGCCTGGAGCTCAGTGACCAGTGATGTTCCGCAGGGATCTGTTCTGGGACCTCTGCTCTTTGTGATCTTTATAAATGACTTGGATGAGGAAATAGGGTGGGTTAGTAAGTTCGCTGATGACACGAAGGTTGGTGGAGTTGTGGACAGCTTGGAGGGCTGTTGTAGGTTGCAATGGGACGTTGACAGGATGGAAAGCTGAGCAAAGAAGTGGCAGATGGAATTCAACCCAGAAAAGTGTGAAGTGATTGGTTTTGGAAGGTAGAATTTGAATGCAGGGTTAAAGGCAGGATTCTCAGCAGTGTGGAGGAACAGAGGATCTTGAGGTCCATGTCCAAAGATCCTTCAAAGTTGCCATCCAAGTTGATAGGGTTGTTAAGAAGGCATATGGTGTGTTGACTTTCATTGGGAGGGGGACTGAGTTTAAGAGCCAGGAAGTTATGCTACAGCTGTATAAAACCACACTTGGAATATTGTGAGACAACAAGGTGCAGGGCTGGATGAACACAGCAGGCCAAGCAGCATCATAGGAGCAGAGAGGCTGACGTTTCGGGCCTAGACCCTTCATCAGAAAAGGGGGAGGGGAAGGGGGTTTTGAAATAAATAGGGAGAGAGTGGGAGGCGGATAGAAGAGGGATAGAGGAGAGGATAGGTGGAGAAGAAACAAACAGGTCAAAGAGGCGGGGATGGGGCCAGGAAAGGTGAGTGTAGGTAGGGAGTTAGGAAGGGGATAGGTCAGTCCAGGGAGGACGGACAGGTCAAGGGGGCGGGATGAGGTTGGTCGGTAGGAGATGGAGGTGCGGCTTGAGGTGGGAGGAGGGGATAGGTGGGAGGAAGAACAGGTTAGGGAGGCAGGGCCGAGCTGGACTGGTTTTGGGATGCGGTGGGGGGAGGGGAGATTTTGAAACTTGTGAAATCCACATTGATACCATTGGGCTGCAGGGTTCCCAAGCGGAATATGAGTTGCTGTTCCTGCAACCTTCGGGTGGCATCGTTGTGGCACTGTAGGAGGCCCAGGATGGACATGTCGTCTGAGGAATGGGAGGGGGAGTTGAAATGGTTCGCAACTGGGAGGTGCAGTTGTTTGTTGCGTTCAGTTCTGGTCGCCTCCTTATAGGAAGGATGAGAAAGCTTTGGAGAGGATGCAGAGGAGATTTACCAGGATGTTGCCTGGACTGGAGGGCAGGTCTTATGAGGAAAGGTTTAGGGAGCCAGGGCTTTTGTCATTGAAGCGAAGAAGGATGAGAGGTGACTTGATAGAGGTGTACAAGATGATGAGAGGCATAGACAGAGTGGATAGTCAGAGACTTTTTCCCAGGGTGGAAATGACTATTACGAGGGGGCATAATTTTAAAATGATTGGAGGAAGGTATAGGGGAGATGTCAGAGGTAGGTTCTTTACACAGAGTGGTGGGTGTGTGGAATGCGCTGCCGGCAGTGGTAGTGGAGTCAGATATATTAGGGACATTTAAGCGACTCTTGGATAGGCACATGGATGATAGTAAAAGGTACGGTGTGCAGGGTAGTTTGATCTTGAGAGTAGAATAATGGCGGCACTGTTGCCAAGAGATAAGCACATTGGAGTGGTTAAAGACCATAGAGAGAACCCAGCAAGCTATGTGAATCAGGAAGGAGAGACACATGATTGTATCTCCCTGATGGAACAGGAAGAAGAGACACAGGGTTGTGTTGAGGAAGACCCATTAGAGGGGCCAGATGTGAAATTCAGGTTTGTAGATGGAGCATGGAAGTATAACAGTCCGTCCTGGACAGGGGGAGCTGTGGTTAATTTAAAAGGGGAACTTTTGGAATAGAAATGATAGATGGATGTCACTTCACAGGTGGCAGAACTAAAAGTACTTACCTGTTGCCCTCCAGCTTGGTAAAGGACAAAGGATTAACATCTATACAGACAGTAGATATGCCTTTAATGAGGTCCATAATGGCATAGGCAAGGCAAGGCTATATTAGCTTGAGTGGTAGTACAATTCAACATGAGACCCCAGTCAAGGACCTAGTAGAAGCAGCTGTTGAACCAAAGGAGACAACAGTAATTAAAATTAAAGCACACAAAGATCCAAATGTCAGAACAGAGTGGAAATGAATACACAGTGAAGTAAAAGCAATGTTAGAATAGTAAATGATAACAGTAGTAACTGTGGGGGGAAAAAAAAAACAAGAAGCCAAAGTAGACAAATGGAACATTTTAAGTTTACAAGCAGCAGCTAAGTTTAGAAGAGAAAACAGAATAGATTAAAAATGGAGCAGTTTTAGGAGCAGATAATGTTTGGAGGAAGGTAGGGTGGCAGTTCCCACATTCTGTCAACAGACTCAATGCAATGTTTATCATGGACTAGTACATGAAGGGAGGGGCCTGCTGTGTTCATCCAGCTCTACACCTTGTCTCAGATTCTCCAGCATCTGCAGTTCCTACTATCTCCGGTTGATATCCAGTTGCTGATAGTGGAAAGGAAGGGGAAGAGACGTAGCTAAATTTTATCAGAGATGGAATGTATGTGCACAGACAGAACTGGGACAGGGAATTAAAATTAAAATGAGTCACCAGCCCTGTCCATGGGGACAATGGGAACATACCCAAATGGATTTTAAAGGACCATTCCAACAAAGTCAGAATAAAAAAATTCTGCCTGATTGTAGTTGACCAGTTCACTAGATGTGTTGAAGCCCTCCCCATGAGGGATTGTACAGCCACCACAGTAGGAAGAATACTTGCCACAGAAGTAATACCTAAGTTGGGGAGTTCCCCTACAATTGGACTCAGGCCAAGGGATGCACTTTACAGGCAAATGCCTGAAAGAAGCATGTAAATTCTTGGTTTCGTATCCCCTTCCACCCACAAAGCTCAGATATAGTAGAGAGAATGAAAAGAACTCTGAAAAATGCCCTGACTAAAGCAATGGGAGGTGAAGGGGTTAAATGGGCCCTATCCCTACCAGCCATTTTAATGGCCTAGACAGCAACCACCTTGAGGGCCACTGGACTTAACACCCTTTGAAGCTTGTGACAGGATGTGCAATGATATTCCTCCAGGGCCTGATCACTGGGGGAAGCAGGATGGACTAACAGGAAGGGACAAGACTGAGATTACATAAAATCCCTCTCTAAGCCTTTACACATACCTTTATGGACAAGCATGAGACTGAGGGACACTCAGGACAATCAGGAATGCCAACCCCAGGATCAAGCAAAGGAGCTCTATCCCTTGTATGTGATGGACCTCATGAGGTAATATTAACAGGGAATAGGAGTGCACTTGTTAATGAAAATGTTCAGTTAAAAGTATATACAAACTAACAGCCTCTAGCATGATATTATCGCTGACCTGTTAATCCAGACAGCCAGATAATGTTCTGGGGACTGGTGTTCGAATCCCACCATGGCAGATGGTGGAATTCGAGTTCAATAAAAAATATCTGGAATTAAGAATCTAATGATGACCATGAATCCATTGCCGATTGTCATAAAAACCCATCTGGTTCACTAATTTCCTTTTGGAAAGGAAACGATCATTCTTACCTGGCCTGTCCTACGTGTGACTCCAGACCCACAGCAATGTGGTTTCACTTATAACTGCCCTCCAGGCAATTAGGGATGGGCAATAAATGCTGCCTACCCAGCGATGCGCTCATCCTGTGAATGAATTTTTAAAAAATCTCAGAATGTCACCAACAATCAAGATAATTCTGGAGACCTCAGAAAACAGATTGTGATGCAGTTGCATGGTGGGAATTGTAATTAAGAATAACACTGATCGTAGTGTAACCATGAAAATGCTACTGCTCTGTGGCATCTTTCAATTTTGATCCCACAGAGAATTGATGGGCACACCATACAGAAAAACTTTAATGTTTACATGTTTATATACATGTCATATGCAAATGTACCAATGTCTCCAGTTGCTGGGTTTGTTCACACATTTCCATACGTTCAAAGGGCAGTATTCCTCAGAGACCAATTTCTTTCCTCACATCTGAAGTGGCAGAATGAGTCACTCACCAAAATGAATCCCTAATGGCTGGCGTTCATATGGCCAACAAGTCTTCTGCAGAGACCGGGTTACGTTGAGTAGACATTATTGGTACCTGAGATAAGTATGAAACAAGAGGGGCAGCTTTTCTGCTTTTAATACCTCCCATCTAGCATCATTTGTTACCATTACCAACACATCACAGGTAGGAAGACTGGTTGCTTCTACTTGCCTTATCAGATCTGAGCCATGGGGTTAATCTGTTGGTCACAGTTGTTGCATCCAGGAGATTAATGTCACTCTGCCTCCATCTAAACTATCCCAGACCAGGTAGCAAATGACGCCTCTTCAGGCCCTTGATAAGATTAATGTTGAAACGGTCGCCATCCGAACCATGGCATTATAGAACAGGATGGCCATTCATTGGCTACTAGCAGAAATAGGAGGCACACGTGCACTCCTTGGCAGGGAGTGTTGCACATACATTCCAGACAACTCTGAAGAAATTACTGATTTGGCTGATCACATTCTTTATGAAGTGATAAAAACTTAAACATCCCTCAGTCTTGAACTGATGGAGTTGGGTCATGGGATGGCTAGGGTCCCAAGGAACTTCCTCGGTCCAGGGATTTGTAATAGTCAATATTATAATTTTTTAAAATGTAGGTTTGTTCAAGTATCGTTTGCACAGGCACAAAAACCACCTCTACATCCCTACATTTGATGAAGGATGAGCAACACTAATAAACCAACCACATCATCATTGCAGGAGAAAATTGGACCAAAGAATCACAAGAAATCATCAGGCTGCAGAATATTAAATCTAATGTCTTTTTAAATATTTGAATGAATTATTATTTTGTGCTGACACTCCTGATGCCTGAAAGATTGATGAGATAAGTGAAAAAAGATGACATGACAAATATAGGCCATTTCTGATTCAAAACTCCCATCAGGGAGGTGGGAAACACACAAACAAACAAACATGAATATCTTTATAATTTAAGTGGTGTCCCTGTGGCCATTATCTGGGCGGGGGTGACTGTTAATGCTGCCCCATGTCAGCACAGCAAAAATGGCTGAAGACAGCCCTAACAACCTTTGCAGTACATGTTTAACAGAAAGTGTAAAATGTGAGAAACACTTGTTTAATGTGTTCTCAGCACAAGAGAACAAATGAGTCTGTTTACTGCAGTAAGGTTGAATGTGCAACATTATTTTTAACCCTAAAGAATATTTCATACCAATTAGTTATTTCTTTTAAGTCTTTTTCTAATCAGTTATAATACTACAAGTCGGTTTTAATTAAGATTCTTTAAGATAATCATAGGTATACATTCCAAAGTGTTATAGAAATCTATATATTAATCACTAAGATATTAGAAAGTTTGAAAACTAATTATAAGAGGCCTTCTTTATCTGTCCTAGTTGAGAAATTAAAAAGTACAAGCAACCATGGAACGTTAGTTTCCCACATACCAAAGGGGGCCCGTTCAGATCATAGCAGCAAGGTTACGAATTGAATGATGTACTAGGAACCCAATCATAACAACCTGGCACTAATTAACCAATAGAATCCATGGGGAGGGAGTACATGCCACCATGTCAATGTTACAAGAAAAATGTACAAAAGACGTTCCACAAAGTTGAAATTTGAGTGTTATTGACTTTTCCTCTGATCTGAGCTGCAGATTAAGAGGGTAAATGAACCTTCATGTCAAGGCCATATTCAAGCTAAGTCTTTGGCCTCTCCTTGTATTGTACCAGGGTTACATGAATAAAAATTACCACGTGCCTTGAGCTCTGCTGTCTCCTGTAAAATTATCTTCGTAAGACTTGCTCCAGCAAGGTCACTGGCAATGAGCAGCATTTGTTGTTTATTTGAGCTTCAGGAAAAACGACCATCCTCCTGACCCAATGCAGGGTATTTTTTTTTTGTGGTGTGATGTAAGTGCCCAAGTAAAGCAAACTTACAGGAAATCAGTGAAACAAATGTGGTTTATCTTTGGTGAGTTAGTCAACACTGAGCCATAAATTCCTTACATTTGTATGCAACTTCCCTTACTCCAAGGATGATGACCTGAGAACCACACAACATGATGGAGGATAGTCTCAATTTGAAGATGGGACTTTATCATCAGAGGGATGTGCGATGATCACTCTTACTGATACTGTCATGGGCAGACACATCTGCAACCAGCAGATTGGTGAGGATGTGGCTGACTAATTCTTCCCCCTTCTTGGTTCCCTCACCACCTGCTACAGACCCAGTCTAGCAGCTTTGTCCTTTAGGACCTAACCAGCTCAAGCTACTCTTGGTGATGGACATTGGAATTTTACAGTGGATTTGAGGAAAAGAAATCACCCAGAGCATGGTGTGTATCTAGAGCTCACTGTCTAAAAGAATGCTAGAGATGAGAACCCTCAAGGCATTTAAGGAACTATTGAGATGAACACTTGAAATGCCATATCCTCAAGGCTACAGGCCAAGTGCTGGAAAATGGAAATAGGATTGATAGACAATTGATGACCAGCATGGACATAATGGGCCAAAAGGTCTCTTTCCATGCTGTAAAACTCTGACTATGAGTTAATCTGGAGCAGAAGACAAAAGAAACACTGTTACAGAGCTAGTGCTAAATTTATTTCACATTATTTATGACACAAAGTTTAACCACAATCAGGACGTTAATCTCCCCTCCCCATTTACACAAATTACAACAGGTGGAATGAGAACATGACATCACAGCTCCCAGGAGCAAGGGAAGATAAAAATGTGACATATGGAGACCACTTTCCCAAATCAGGGAGGAAGACAGAATCTGGTTCAAGAGCAGAATCAGTCTCATCCAAATACTCAATCCTGATCAGGGTGGAATTGGGGTTAACAACAGTTCGGCACAGCCCAAACATCATCCCCTCCATTCCCCCAATCCCCAGGAGCAGCCTCACTTCCTGACCCCCACTGATGAGGGGCTGTGGGGCCTGGGGTGTATCAGAACCTGGACCTTGGTGCCTCGGTTGTGTTTCCATGAAAGCCACAAACAAAGCTTAGCCTCAGACCTCCTCAGCCTTTAAAATTTCTCTCTTTCTTTGTGCACCTGTTTTAATCTCCTGATGTGGCTTGGGGTCCAATTGTGTTTGAGAACTGCACCTGGGAAGCTGTTTGGGACTTTTCACTTGGTTACAGAAATGTTGTTAACCTGTCTTCAGCCAGTCAGTTGTTGACCTACAACTCAGACAGTGTCAGCTATCAGCAGTGCAATCCAGATTCCTGCAGTAAGAATATGGATGAACCAGTAACAATGACCACAGTAAACAGCCACAGTGCAAAGACTCAATTAGGTCCAGAATCAGTGCAAACACAGCAAGACAAAAAATAAACTGTAAACCACAAAGATCCAGAAACAATAACTTCAAAAACAGAAAGGTGGTCTAGGGAAGGGGCAGCAAAAATTAAACCAGCCAACCCAATATATCTGCTGGGAATCACCAATGTGGGGGAACTGTATTAACTAAACAAGACAGTGGGGAAGAGGGGACAGGGACAGCACACTGTCTTTGGTAAACATTGTATTTGGGAAGATAACATACTTCAACCCTGACCCCGTCTCCATCAAACACTCCCAGGACAGGGACAGCACGGGATTAAATACAGGGTAGAGTAAAGCTCTCTCTACACTGTTCCCAAGAAACACTCCCAGGACAGGGTTAGATACAGAGTAAAGCTCCCTCTACAAGAGAGCTCAACAAATTACTTGCAGATATAGTCATAAGTCATCCCCCACCCCGATTCCTGTTGTCCCTCCACTGTCCTGCAGCGATCAATTTCCCACAAAAGGAATCATGTTGCCCAATCCCAAGGATCAGGGGATCCCCCAGTCCCAGTGATCACACTCCCTCCCTCCAGCTCTCTCATGGATCGCAGTATCTGATGTTTCTCGGCTGTCATCTCTTTCTGCTAATCACCAGTCAAGCGGAGAGGAGTAAAGTTACTCTGGTAAAGTGCATCTTTCCCTGTTATGACAGACACCCCTTCATCCCCCGCAGAGAGGCAGTTTGGACAGGATAGCCTCCATATCAGTCAATGCCGGTATCAGCTTTTCACGGTGCCTTGTGCTGATGCACTCCCACTCGGGAGATCATCCTCTGGCTGCTGTTTTGATGGCGAAATCATCAGAGCTTGGGTTTTGTGAGTGATCACAACAGAACATGGTCCCTGAACCCAGGGTTCCCCATCAACCTGCATGGGCATCACCGAGTTCTTCAGAATCAGCTGAGAGGAACAGAGCAAACAAATTCAACACAGGACCAGCAACAATGCATCGCAGCTCTCTCCCTCCCGGAAAAACCAGGCACTTCCACCGTCCCCACCCCCCGAAAACAGGGTGCCACTGCCCCCACTTCCAGAAAATCTGGCACTGTTCCCTCTCTCCCTCCCAGAAAGCTGGGCATGGCACACCCTCCTCCCCCCACCCCAGAAAACCAGACACCGCACCTCCTCCCAGAAAACAGGACCCTGCAACCCCAAGAAACCAAACATCCTGAAATGCCAGAGAAGAAAGAACGTGTACACCCAAACACCATAGCATCTAAACACAACCCACAGCCACCTGCATCATCCAGGGCTCAGGTTGCAGTGGTGACTTGTCAGGAAAGCCCCATTTCCGGGTTGTTTTTCCCCACCCCAGAGTGTTCTCCGGGCTCTGGGAGGTGTGTACTTACTCTGACAGTGTGGGCCTGGCCCAGGCGTACTGGATTGGCCAGTTTCACGTGGATTTGAGCACAATGGAATGAGCCATAAACCCCAACTACTTCCAACAGCCCATCACTATGACTGTAACGTAAAGGAATACAGTTAGAAGGATAGAGAACACGCTCAATTCACTGAAACAGCCATGTAGTACATGCTACCATTGCTTTACATCCTACAGAACAATCATCATCAACTTTAAGAATGTATTTAGAGTCATAGAGACATACAGCACAGAAACAGACCCTTTCATCCAATTCATCCATGGCGACCAGATATCCTGAATAAATCTAGTCCCATTTGCCAGCATGTGGCCCATATCCCTCTAAACCCTTCCTAATCACATACCCATCCAGATGCCTTTTAAATGTTGTAATTGTACCAGCCTCCACCACTTCCTCTGGCAGCTCATTCCATACACACACCCATCACTGCCCTATCTACCTACAACTCCACTTTCAAGGAACTATTAACCTGCACTTTGTTTAGCAACGCTCCCTAGAACCTTACCATTATGTGTATAAGTCCTGCCCTGATTTGCCTTTCCAAAATGCAACACCTCACATTTATCCAAATTAAACTCAGTCTGCCACACCTCGGCCCATTGGCCCATCTGATCAAGGTTCTGTTGTACTCGGAGGTAACTTTCTTCACCAAACTGGCGTTTTCCCAGCCACCATCAGTTGAGGAAGGGTCACTGGACTCAAAACGTTAATTCTGTTTTCTCCTTCACAGATGCTGCCAGACCTGCTGAGCTTTTCCAGCAACTTTGTTTTTGTAACCTTCTTCACTGTCCACTACACCTCCAATTTTGGTGAAGTAATAACAAAGAAGATTGATGAGGGCAGAGCAGTGGACGTGATCTATGTGGATTTCAGTAAGGCGTTTCACAACATTCCTCTTGGTAGACTGGTTAGCAAGGTTAAATCACATGGAATACAGAGAGAACTAGCCATTTGGATACAGAGATAGCAGGAACTGCAGATGCTGGAGACTCTGAGATAACAAAGTGTAGAGCTGGATGAACACAGCAGGCCAAGCAGCATCATAGGAGCAGGAAGGCTGACGTTTCGGGTCTAGACCCTTCTTCAGAAATGGGGGAGGGGAAGGGGGTTCTGAAATAAATAGGGAGAGAGGGAGGCGGATAGAAGATGGATAGAGGAGAAGATAAGTGGAGAGGAGACAGACAGGTCAAAGAGGCGGGGATGGGGCCAGTAAAGGTGAGTGTAGGTGGGGAGGTAGGGAGGAGATAGGTCAGTCCAGGGAGGATGGACAGGTCAAGGGGGTGGGATGAGGTTAGTAGGTAGTAGATGGGGGTGCGGCTCGAGGTGGGAGGAGGGGATAGGTGGGAGGATGAACAGGTTAGGGAGGCGGGGACGAGCTGGGCTGGTTTTGGAATGCTGGTAGGGGGAGGGGAGATTTTGAAGCTTGTGAAATCCACATTGATACCATTGGGCTGCAGGGTTCCCAAGCGGAATATGAGTTGCTGTTCCTGCAACCTTCGGGTGGCATCGTTGTGGCACTGCAGGAGGCCCAGGATGGACATGTCGTCTGAGGAATGGGAGGGGGAGTTGAAATGGTTCGCGACTGGGAGGTGCAGTTGTTTACTGCGAACTGAGCATAGGTGTGCTGCAAAGCGGTCCCCAAGCCTCCGCTTGGTTTCCCCGATGTAGAGGAGGCCACAACAGGTACAGCGGATGCAGTATACCACATTAGCAGATATGCAGGTGAACATCTGCTTGATGTGGAAAGTCTTCTTGGGGCCTGGGACGGGAGGTGTGGGGGCAGGTGTAGCACTTCCTGCGGTTGCAGGGAAAAGTGCCGGGTGTGGTGGGGCTGGAGAGGAGTGTGGAGCGGACAAGGGAGTCACAGAGGGAGTGGTCCCTCCGGAAAGCAGATAAGGGTGGGGAGGGAAAAATGTCTTTGGTGGTGGGGTCGGATTGCAGATGGCAGAAGTGTCGGAGGATGATGTGTTGGATCCAGAGGTTGGTGGGGTGGTATGTGAGGACGAGGGGGATTCTGTTTTGGTTGTTCTTGCAGAACTGGCTCAAAGGTAGAAGACAGAGGGTGGTGGAGGGTTGCTTTTCAGACTGGAGGCCTGTGACCAGCGGTGTGCCACAAGGATCAGTGCTGGGTCCACTGCTTTTCATCATTTATACAAATGATTTGGATGTGAACATAGGAGGTATAGAGAATAAGTTTGCAGAAGTTTGCAGGTTTAGTGGACAGCAAAGAAGGTGTATTTATCTGTAACTTTTGATCCTTTTAAAATCAAAGCCCTTTGATCAATCCTGTGTTAATTCCTCTATCAGCTTAGTCATCAACCTTGGGAAGTCTGTCACCCCAATGTGTTAGTTTTGCCAGAGCCCCTCTTTCTTTCATTAGACCATAGTCACCCCATATTATTGCAAAGGGCCCAATGTTCTCACCCACAGTGAGACTTTCTCCCTGATCTATCTTGCTACTCCTAACAGGGGGACAATGGACAGGCTGGTTAACCATTGAGGTTAGTTTAGGTATTCCAATCTCATTTCTGATTATTCCCAGTCTGTCCCAATCACAATATGGGACTTAATAACCAAGCAATATCATTTTATTGTTCCCTGCTCCATCTACAGGGCACCACATCTATTTTCTTCTGTTTGTGAAGTCCACAGAGCAAGTTGCAGCTGGAACACGATTCTCACCTGTAACTGCACTGACACAACCTTGGTTTTTCTCTTGCCAATCCCCTCTCCAGCATACAGTCCCACATCCTCCACGCTCTCATATCACAATTAGATATCAATATTACAGTCAGATAGGCTGACATTTCTTTCGTCAGAATTTCTGTTAGTACGGTTAAACAGATATAGTCAATGCCAGATTTGTTCTTTGCAGAACATCCAGTCCTAAAAGGCTGATGAAAATTCATTAAATGCTGGGAAAACACAATTGATTATCTTTACCAAAGCCCACGCCCACTTCTTTCAATGATTCACCCCCAAATCACTCAGCACAACTCTTCCCCCGTTCCTCCCATGAAGGGCTTAACTCTCTCTCACCAAATGGGGTTAATTCACTTGCTTTCTCTTCACTTCACCCACACCCGAAGGAGTTCACTTGCTCTCTCTCACCACCCCATAAAGGGCTGACTCACTCTATGATGTTACCTTTACACATATACCCAGTGTGCAGGGCAAAAAGGCACAACCTTACAAGACACAGGATCCCTGCACCCAAGGTGGGACAGAGTTTACCCATCAACAGCCTCCTCTCAGTATCTGCTTTAAGCCTATTGTTAAAGTAGGACTTACCTGGCAGGGGGATAAGGCTTGTCCCCTGTGCCTTCCCAAAGCCGACAGCCCCCTCCCCAGTAAGCAATGTTGAGAACGATAATCCCCTCCAGTTTCGGCAATGCAATCCTTTCCCCATCCAGCTCCAACTGTATTTTGGGTGAAGTGGGTACCGATGAGAGAAAGCAACAAGGACAAATTGAGAGAGACAGCAGAGGTACCATTCTCCCCACAGGACTCATTAACAGGAAGGAAGGCTCAGGAAAGGGTTGACTTGACAAGGGTCAGGGCCTCCTGCTGACCAGTGACAGGATGGATTCTACAAGCCCACACAGCCCACCAGGATTTTTGAAACACCTTCAGCCATTGAAATCCAGCTTTGAAGTGTTGGTACGTAGGAAACACAGCAGCAATTTGCACACAGCAAGTACAGGTGGACCAGAAAATCAGGAATACGCTTGTCTAGGCCCTTACATCCACGATTCTTCTGATGCTTTACGTCAGTTTCAGAATTTCCAGTTTGCGGGCTCCAGCCACTTCCTCTTTACCATGGGACACAGAACTCCTCTGTACATCCATCCCCCATATGGATGGTCTCAGAGCTCTCCCCTTCTTCCCGGAAAAAAGATCTGAACTGTCCCCATCTCCCACCAGCACCCTCCACCTGGCCAAGCTTGTACTCACTTTAAATAATTTCTCCTTTAACTCCTCACACTTTCTTCATGTCAAAGGGGTGGCTGTGGGTACCTGCACAGGCTCCAGTTATGCGTGTTTCTTTGTGGGGTACGTAGAACATTCATTGTTCCAGTCCCACTCGAGCCTCCCAACCACAACATTTTCCTCTGGTATATTGATAACATCATTGGCACTGCTTTCCTCTCTAGTCCCGATTTGCAGAAGTTTATCAATTTTGCTTCCAATTTCCACCCCACACTCACCTTCATCTGGTCCATCTCTCACTCCTCCCTTCTCTTCCTTGACATCTGTTTCCATTGCTGGGGAAAGATTGGCCACCAATATCCACTTCAAACCCACCGACTTCCACCTTGACTACACATCCTCGCACCCTGTTTTCTGTTAAGACTCTATTCTATTCTCCTAGTTTCTCTGGCTCTATCGCATCTGTTCTGATGATGCCACTTGCAATTGCAACCACAGAAGGTGCAACACCCGTCTGTTTATTTCCTCCCTTCTCACTATCCAAGGCTCCAGACACATCTTCCAGCTGAAGCAGCGATTTAAATGGATTTTACTCAATCTAATGGATTTGCTGCTCACAATTCGTCTTTTCTACATCGGTGAGAAAAAAAAACAGACTAGGTGACCACTTTGCAGAACACCTATGTTCTGTCTGCAAAAATGAACCATGCTTTCAGTTGCCTGCTACTTGAACACACCATAGTGTTTCCTGGCCAACATCCCTACCTCAGGCTTGCTGCAGTGCTTCAATGAACAGCATCTCATTATCAGCCTGGGACCCCTGAAGCCTCTAGGACTCAACAGTGAGTTCAATAATTTTAGAACTGGACACCTCCCTCCATGTCCTTCACCCACCCCAACACCCCAGGCCCTGGCATGACATTTGGCTGCTTTCAGCACAGCCAAAACATTATCTATTTATGGTCCCCAGCATCAGCTGGTTCTTATTAGCATACTATTATCCATCATTGTCTCTCTTTCTGGGCTAACCCAATATCTTCAGCTGATATGTATTTACCACCTTTTTCTAGCTGCCAGTTCTAAAGAGGAGTCACTAGACTCAAAACTCTGTTTCTCGCCACAGATGCTGCCAAACCTGCCGAGTTTCTCCAGTAATTTGTTTTTCTTTCAGATTTCTAGCGTTTTATTTTATCAGGAAGAATGACCTGGTTTTCCTGCCAGTCTGAGCCACAAGATGTACTCCATTCAGCTTGAGGGGAGATAAAGCCTAAGATTAATGCCCAAACCAAGCTTGCTTCCCACTCCTGTTCACACCTATCCAATCCAGTCAAGGTCATCACTGACTCACCCATCACTCAAGACCAAACACCATCAACAAACCCACCCTTGCAACGAACTCGTGCTTTGCAAACGCCCAGTGAAGCTACAGTATAAACGCAACCAGGCAACAGGAAACTCACCTCAATCTTCTGATCCAGGTCCTTGCAAGCTTGAACTAAACAGTCTCTGGTCCCATAGAAGAAATAAACAGCCTTTATAAAATGAATAATAGCAATGAGACAGATTCCAGGGCTGAGTTCAGTGCAAGAAATTCTGTCAATTAGCTCAAAGCCTACCAGGAACTGCAGTCTGGAGTGAGTCATTACACCTTGATACTAGAGCTACAATACAATATGTTCACGGAGTGCTGGACAGGCAGCAGTTGGAGCACACACAGTGTACTGACCTAAATCCTGATCCATCCCACAGTCCTGATAGTATCACAGGAAATTTCATCTCAAGGCAGGGACAGCACAGGATTAGATACAGAATAAAGCTCCCTCAACACTTTTAAACTGAAAGTAAAGATTGCCCTACTTTTTTTAAACAGAAAATAAAGCTGTCTCTACTCTTTTAAACAGAGAAAAAACCCTCCACAAAATCCTGACAGGCTCAGCACAGGGTAAGGCTCCTTCTGGACAGTGCCTCAGAACTGTCCAGTTATGTAATTCTTTCTAAAAGTTTCTAAAGTGAGTGTCACAGAAGAACATGTAGCAAATTGGTGTTGACTCTCACCATTCAACAAAGAGGCTGACCCTATTGATCTCACTTACAGAATTATGTAGAAGTGCTCACCTTATTAATAATCCGATTAGAGAAAAGGAATGGGCTTTGCTGCCTGCATTCGTGGAAGTTTAAAGCCATGAGAGCATCTGGGCCAATGGAGAAATAATTGTTCATCGTGTAAATCTAGAGAACAAGAATGGGAGCAGAGAACAGCCTATCAGAGAGCCTGCAAGGCAGGACTTATACCACAGCAGCGGAAGCACTCACTGCTACAGGCCGTGGACAGGAATTAACTAGACACACTAGCGTGGAGGATGAGACAGACAGAGTGATAGAGGTGGTGGGGGGGGTGCTGTCGAAGGCCTGTAGCGGTGAGTGCTTCCGCTGCTGTGGTATAAGTCCTGCCTTGCAGGCTCTC